AAAAATTAAATAATTTGGTCACTTGAAATGTCACAAAAGTTTGGAGAGAACAATAATGGAGGGGTATATGCCTGTAAGAGAGGAAGAGGAAGATGGGGCAGGATGTTGCGGATGATCTCCAGATGGGCGTATCAGACGCGGGACATCTTGCTTGTGATCAAGAAGTTTTCCGGACGGTTGTTATGGAAGCAAGGTTCTGCAAAGGACAGGCTACTGACTGACATCTCACTTCCCTAGTCTGTAAATTAGGTAAGTGTACAAGCAATTCCAGCTTTTTTTAAAGATCAAATAACAATGATAATGGGAAGGCGTGATCAGGAACACATACAGACACTGCATACACACACACACACGTACAAACTCACACACACACACACACACATACACTTTATATATTACATATATATATATATATATATATATATATATATATATATATATATATATATATATATATATATATATATATATATATATATGAAAGGCTGAGAGAAGGATCCAAGACCAGATTTCATTATTATGTATGTCGAAATCATTTGGGCAACTGTAATTCCTATTTTGAGAACACGGTTGGTTAGTTAGTTAGTTAGTCTTTCCTCTTGTGTCGAGTGCGGCACATAGGGCAGAGGTCATGACAATAGCAGTTCGTTGCAATCTGTTGTAGGTCTTGGATGTTTGAGTGGCCCATGAGCGAGCCTTCCCTGATGATAGTTCTACGTAGAGTTTCCCTTGGTCTTCCACAAGATCTTTTCCCCTGTGGTATCCAAATGAGGGCTTGGTAAGGAAGTCTTGATTTATCCATTCTAAGGGCGTGGCCGACATAGTTCCAGCGGCGTTTTCGTATAAAATTAGACACATACTCTTGCCTGGATTCTTGCCTTATTTGTGTATTGGTTCGGAAATATGACCATTTGAAATTTAGTATTCTTCTAAGGCATTTATTTTCAAAACTGTCTAATTTTGTGTCTAGAGTTTTCGTTGATTTCCAGCTCTCGCATCCATAGGTTAGTACTGGAATCACACAAGAATTGAAGATCTTGAGTTTTGTGTGTTTGCTAAGTGTCTTTGATTTCCAGATGTTAGACAGTTTATTGAAGGCACTAGATGCCAGTGCAATTCTAAATGGTATTTCTGGTGCGGTATCTCCTGTAGATGACATCTTGCTACCTAGATAAGTGAAACTTGACTTTTTCAAGGCTGTTGTTGTTCAGCGTGATATCAACTGAACTGTTGGTAAGGTCTAGAATTTTTGGAGAACACGGTAATTCTCCAGAAAAAAAAGTTGAGTGGCCACCTGGCAATGATAGACACCTGCTTCATCTTGAACAAGTGTATACAGTTTGATCACTTTGATCAGTTTTAATATCATTTGAGAAAAAAATCTTTAAGATAAGAATAATTATTTTCTATAATGTAACTAATTCCCTGACTGGACAGGCCTCAGGCATGAAACCATGAAGTACATCACAACTGACCGCCAAAGGTGGAGAAGAGCTGATCAGACAGTCAACAGAAATAGGTGACCCAACAATAGTCATCAACCATGAAGTCCATCACAACTGACCGCCAAAGGTGGAGCTTATCTGACACTCATCAGAAACTGGTGAGCCAACGACACATAGTGTTACAGGATGATGATGATGATGATGATGATGAACTAATTCTAAAAATAGTAACCACAGAAGTCAGTGAGAATCTTCACATTTTTTTTTGAAAGATGATTACTGTAACAACAATGACAGAAGATATGCAGTATGTAACAACAATGACAGAAGATATGCAGGGTGTATCCCAACAGTTTGTAATCAGTAATGATACCCATGATGGGATACAACACAGCGATACCACTTTACACTAGAACTCTAGCAGTATGTTCATCGAAAATTGGGTTAAATCAAACAACTGCTAAACTAATGTAGTGGACTGCTGGTATCACCCAGAACAGTTCAAATGATGTCACAACTGTAAATCGTGTCCCCGTATATAAGAAACAAGTTTTTCAAATTCACCTACATTTATATTTCTGTCCCACACTGTAAGTTAGTTAGTTAATTGACAGATTATCTTCACTGCACATCTGACAAATCCATAAGCGCTCGGATCCCATCTTCAGTATATTACCCAGCGTGTGATGACTGATAACACCAGTTCTGTGTTAGTTTACTATTCTTCATTGACTACCTGCGAAGTGTTCATGTTTGGCGACACCTTTTTTGATCTGTCCCACATTATGAGGGGCTAGAATGTGTTGAACTCTAAAAAAATTTCGGATTGTTACTATTTGTAAACACATTACCTTTCTTTGTTCATATTATTAACTGCAGAATTTTAAGTAATGTAAGTAATGACAGCTTAAATATGTTGTTCCCTTGTTGTCAGGTCAACTAGAGTTATGCTTCTTAAACTTTCAGTGTATGGAAAATTGTTCTGTTCCTTCAACTGAATTAGAAAAACAATTAAGTTTATAAACTCTTTTTTACTAAAGCAAAGGAGATAATTTTTCTAAATTTGTGTGTGTATAAAGATGGACAAGAAAAGCCATACTCCATTCATCTATTCAATCATTTATTTGCTGCAAAGAGAGTAAATATTTGTATGTATTTTATTAAGATGAAGTATTTACTGAAAATAAACATTTGAAAACAACAGGCTAAAAAGGAAATTACAGTCTTAACACAACATTTTATCTTTAGATATGTTCTTAATCACGCACCTTTTTTTTTTTTTTTTTTAGAAATCCTAATTCTCTTCAGCATGATTCTTGCAATGCAGTTCTAGACTGACATATTCGAACTAAGTTTACTGCACATCACACAGCTATGTTATAAATATACGTTTTAAAACTGTTATTGTCACACTGAATGTACTACAAAATTTTACAAATATGACATTTACAGGTCATTCTGAGAAAGATATGAGGGCACCGTATGCTGATAACCTGCCAATGAGTTCCGAGTATAGTTGATGCCTGTCAAAAAACATGCTGCTGAATATTTGTTAAGGATTTTGAAAATTTTAGTAATCCATCTTGTTTACTGTGTTTTCAAGTGGTGCTGTATTTCAGTAAATAGAGTACATGCAAACATTTTTGAAACAGTAGATAAATTTTTTTTTTTTCAAGAGCACAGACAAAAAATGGACGGAGTGTGATAAAGGCACTTTATAACGAATAATGCACATTCATGTCAGAATATTTACCAATGACACTGATAAAATCTGGCATATGAGTAAAGACAGCAACATGAGTAAAATATTAATAACGCAAAATACTGAATAGTAAGATTGAAAATAAATGTTTACATAAACTATTTTGGTATGCAAATCTGGAAACTAAAAACGTAGTTTACAGAATCCTAAGCGAGGCAGTAAAAGGTGAAGTTTAAAAACAACATGTAATTATTCATCCAGATGTTGCCAGTTAGGTTATAACTTTTCTAGAAATAATAATAAAACACTATCAAGAAAATACTAGTAACAGTTTGATGACTAATAAAAAAAATATGCCATACTAAGTGAATGTAAACATTAAAAAATATGATAGTTTGGCATGGCAGAAATTCTAACTAAAGCAGACATTTCCAACTTCTATAGCAAACTGCTGGTTCTCTTGGCCGATATCGAACAGAAGCATGTCTGTCAGAGGAAGGATGTCACTTCTGTTGGTTCTGATGCTGATGGTTGCTGTGTGCCATTCATTGTCCTTGCGCTGTCGGAAGACAAATATTCATCAGCTGGTATCACTCAATCTGAACATAAAGTTTCGATTAGTTTATTATCCCTTACAGAATGTTGCTGTGATGTAGCGGTTAGATCTTCAACTGTGGATCAGAAGGTCGTTGGTTCGAGTCCTGATGTAGTCGGACTTTTTTCAAAAATTACCTTAGCTCCCAGCTCAATCCAGCTTTGAGTGGTTACCAGGTGCAGTCCTAGGAAGTAAAAGTGGCCGGCATGATGCTGACCATATCACCCACCAAGTGTCAACTGGTCTATTAAATATAGGTCTAGCCCTATATGCCTAATATACCTAAAGGTGTGGGAAAGGGTTCTTTACTTTTTGCTTGTTACAGAATGTCACAAGCCAGCCACCATGTTTGCTGGCTCTGTTGTGGGTTACAATTAGAGATTTGAGATCTTGCATCTTTCCCGTGGCAAATAATGGACGTGAGACACAGACTCTTAGTCTGAAGAAAAACATGAGTTTTTGAACTGAAATGCTACAGAAATATTCTTAGAATACCTTGAACCAAGAAGAAGAAAAACTTAGACATCCTCCATGGTCTAAGCATGAAGGAGAATTGACTCACAAACAGCACTCTGTCCAGAAGGTTGACATATTTTGGCCATGTTAAACCATCATAGAGCCAGTAGAGAACAGTGACCGAGGGTATAGTTTCCAGAAAACAAGGCAGAGGCTGACCTCAGGGAAGTGGATAGAAGACATTAAAGATCTATTAGCTATGAAAGCATACAGGGCTAGAGAACTGGTTGAGAAAAGAGAGGCTAACTAACTAACTAACTAATTGTTGTTTTACATGGTAAATCATTTGCCACTGCCTGTTAAATGGTTGATGCTCATACCAGTCAAAAGTAATGCTAAGCAGTCTGCTGCCTAATTGCATGCTTCTGAATTAAACTTAGTACACAATAATTTCCTGGGAAGTAAAGGTGGTTGGCGTAATGATGACTACATCACCCATTAGGTGTAAACTGGCCTATAAAAATATAGATATAGCCAATACTTGCGCCAAACACAAAATTACTTTTTGTTTTTAATTTCTCTTTTAATAACAAACAGAGAAGAGAATTACAGATATAGAGGCATACTATTAGGAGGACAGGGAGAGAGCTGCAAGAGATGGGGAATAGATAGAACAGATCGATACAAATTGGTTGAGGGTCTAACTTCCAATGCGAGTTTGAGGGCAGAAGAAGAACTACTGTCTTACATTGGGAGACCCGAAAGTGAACTATCTGATGGTATATGTCTGAAATTCACTTACGCAATTGTCTGCGACTTCAATAAAGGTATTCCTCTTGTATCTGGTCTCCGCTGTATCAATCTCCTCTCCGGTGTTCGTGCTGAACCGAGCACCATACGGGCTGGAGTTGAGGCAGTTGTAGGTGACTGTCTGGCGTGCTGCGGTTGACTGGAGCTGCAGGTACCTCAGCTGTTGGGAGTCTGTCTTGTACACAAACTGAAGGTAAAACAATCATGACAGTGACTGATGTTTAAATAGTTACAAGTCAATTTCAAAAGGAGGCTTCATGTTCACACTGCAGACATTAACTATTTTAGTACCAGGGGCATAAAATGTTGCCCTCCTCACCTAGATAGTTTTCTATTTTGTGTAATTAAATTATAGTACAGACTACTTAAGGGGATCTTAGACAGGATAAATTTCTGTTGTGAAAAACAATTTGTTCTTCTGGCAATTTTACTTATTTTAATTCTTCTCTGGATAAGAGAAATCGCTGATAAAAAGAACCATTTCTTTGGTCCTCATGTAGTTCTCCTTATCAGATCTCTATTGTATTAAAGTCAGAATGACTTATAATAGTGCAGAAGTATAAAGAAGACGGGAGCATAATTATACACGGCATAGTGGCATTACAAATTACCACCAGACTCAAGGTCATGGGTCTGAATCCGTTTCAAAGTGATAAATTTTTTTTTTCACATTTCAAGTTGACACTGGCTCCTAGAATTGGGAGTCGCCCGGGGCGTTGTTGGCTAGACGCCCATCAGTGGATCGGAAGGTCGTGGGTTCGCGTCCTGATGGAGTCTTGACTTTTTTCAAAAATGATGTTAACTCCCAGGTTGACCCAGCCTTGACTGAGTACCAGGTGCAGTCCTGGGAAGTAAAGGCGGCCAGTGTGATGCTGACCACATCAACCTCCAAGTGCCGATTGGTCTATAAAAATATAGGTCTAGCCCTATATTCTCCCAGTGCGCCTCATTATCATCATCATCATCATCAGGTGCCTTGCCGACTGGCGTGGGCGATCATGCCTCTCCATAATCCGCGATCTCCTGCAGCATGTATCAGTTCGTGTGCCGACACACCTTCATGCCATGCAACAAGACTGTCAAGCATCTTCTCTCGTTGTCTTTCTCTATCCCTCCTTCCACAGATCTTTCCAGTGGTCACAACATGTTCTATTTTCCCTCTTCTCATAACATGGCTGAAAAATTATGACTGTCTCCTTCTGATGTCAGTGATAAGTTGTCTTCGAGCTCCCGCCTCTTTCAAAACCTCTTGGTTGCTCTTTTTGGCTGTCCAAGGTATTCTAAGCATTCTTCTGTAAAACCACATCTCTGAGGCCTCTAAAAATTGTTTGGCCTGCCCACCGATTGTCCAGGATTTACATCCATATGTTAAAACTGGATGTATGTAGCAAGCAAGAATTCTTTTTCTAACTCTCAATGACAAGGATATATTGCACAAGATGTTTTTCATTTTATAAAATGCGCCTAAAGGTGTGGAAGAAGGGACCTTTACTATACTATTGGCTTCTGGGCTGACCCTGCCAGGTTTACATTGGATTTATTTGTTATGGCCCGGGACCAGGTTGGTAATTCTCAAGTTAGCCCGTGGACCACAAACAGGTTACCCATCCCTGATCTATGCCCTAGTAAAATTCTGCAATAATATATAATCTGCTCACATATAATATTAACCATGTGGATTTTAAGTCTGTTACATTTATATAAAAAGTAAGAGGAAAGTATCAAATTAATTTCATAAAAATACTCGTGTGTTACAAGCTGAATGACACGTTTTAAATAAATCTGCTCCTCTCAGTAATCTGGTAATCTGGTAATCCTAGTTTCAGCATCATAGCAAACGGGTCACCCCATTGTTGCTCCGCTCCTGTGCCAACGAAAAACACTCGTAGCTCACAGTGTCACACCATGCACTCAACTCAGAAGCTGGGTGACGAAACTATATCCTTCCAGTCTACAAATGGAGCAAGCAAGTTTCTCAGTAGAAACATCTGCCATAAAATAGTGTTTTACCTTCTTTCCATTGTTGATTTCTTCCATGAAATACTGTCCATCGCCTGTGGTCCTGGTCCATCTAGCTTTGTTGAACTAGAAGAATGTAAGCAATATATCGTGATCAATATTGTTACAGTGGTGGTGGTGATGACAAGAATTATAATGGTAAGTTTGATAGTAATAATACAGATGATGATATAATGTTAACTGTGTGGAAGAATAATGTGTCCTTGAATATAATGATGATAGCTGTGATAGCAATGGTGATACAAGTAGAGATAATAGTGCTGTGATGGGGATATAAGTAGAGATAATAGTGCTGTGATAGTGGTGATGGTGATACAAGTGGTGTAATAGAGCTATGATAGTGGCATGATGATACAAGTGGACTGAATTGGGCCATGACAGTGTTAACAATGATACCAGTAGAGATAACAGTGCTTTTATAGTGATACAAGTGTGTTAGCACAGCTATGATAGTGGCGATGGTAATACAAATGGAATTATTAGTGCTATGATAGCTATGAGTGTGATACAAGCGTAGTTGATAGTGCTATAATAGTTGTGATAGTGAAGCAAGTAGCGTTAATAACGCTATGATAGCTGTGACAGTGATACAAGTGTAGTTAACAGTGCTATGATAGTTGTGATAATGATGCAAGTGAAGGTAATAGTGCTGTGATAGTTGTGATAATGATACAAGTGGAGGTAATAGCACTATTAGAGCTTTGACAGTGAGAGTGATACAAATGTAGTTAATAGTGCAATTACAGTTGCGATAGTGATACAAGTGGACGTAATAGTGCTCTGATAGCTGTGACAGCGAAACAAGTGTAGTTAATAATGCTATGACAGTTGTAATAGTGGTACCAGTGGAGGCAATAGAGCTATGATTGTCATGGTAGTGATTGTGATACGACTGAGGTTAACAATGCTACAGATAACGCCTCACATTGTTGGGGTTAGCACTGATACAGCTCTCCTCTGTGTCAAAGTTGCAGAAGACCAGAATGGCATCTTCAGCTGAACCTTCATTGGGGTCGATCCAGTACTCGCCTAAAACATTATTCACATAAAATAAGATTCTACGGATGCAGGTATGGTTACATAATTTAACGCACTGCAACCACAAATTTCTTTAAATAAGTGTTTAGTATTTTCTTCATTTCTTCTTCTTTCTTCTTCTTCTTCTTCTTCTTCTTCTTCGTGGTTACTGGCTTTAAACTCTAGCAGAAAGCTCTGGTTGGTCCTCCACTTCTGGTTTTAAGTCTTACTAAAGAATATGAGTTTTGCATGCCATCTTTCTATAAAAGTAGATCAGGTTTATTTAAAAAAAGTAGTATTGTTTTGTTGCCTCCTAGGCAGATGTACTCCCTTAGTCTGTCGACTTCTACGATGTGTTTGTTAGAGGGGGGCAGAGTATCTATTCTTTCCTCCCTCCCCCCACCATACACACACACACACACACGTGTGCGTTCATACAATGGGGCTCGGACCCAGGAACCCACATGAGGATGTTTTAAATTTAAGAAAAGTATATTCCAGTTCTTTTTAAACATGTTTTATCTTTCAACCATAGCATAACTTTAGATGTTTGCCCAATATTTCAACAAACAACTTTTCAGCAGGTATATTTGTGCTTGTTTAGTCATTCTCTGCTTGTTTCTAATCAGGATGTGTCCAGTGTAGCGCAATCTTCCCTGTCTTAAAATTATTGATACTTATGGTTGTCCAAGCATTTCTCTTATTTCTTCACCCCTCTTAAATTCACATTTTATTATGTTCATAATTTTTCTCAGGAATTTATTTCGGAACTTTCATTCCATGTTTTTAGGGGTTCTCCAATTTTCCCTGGCATGTGTAAAAAACTGAAATAAACTTAGAACTGAAAATAGGTAACTTGATTCAAGTTCTAAAACAATGCAGTTTAGAATTCAATAGTCTCTTCAGGCTTTTAAAAACTTGTGATGCCTTGCCAATGCCAGGCATGTTTTCTTTCTTGATGTTTCCCTGTCTATCAAGATAACTACCTAAATAGGTCAACTGGTCTGTTACTTTCATTATTTTTTTTTGTCTCTAATGTTACATCTGTTTGACCTGTTACTAGTGTCTTTAATATATTTGTCTTTTCGTAACTTCATCAAAATTGTTGATGTCAATTTTTATCTATCTATTTCTATTTTCTACTATCTAGTTTTACTTAGCAGATTCTTTTTCAGAGCTTCTTTTCTCTATTGTATATTAAAGAACTCTTCTATCATAAAGTTCAAGTTGATGCCTCACCGTGCAATTTCCCATATTATTGTTACATCAAGTCATTCCTGTGGTATTGTGTAAAAGTAAATCAGTGAAAGTATAATTTATAAACATTCACCATTTGCCAGGTCAGGGTTAACTTTCTTCAGCTGTCTACAGGACAGACCAGGAGATGACTTCTTGCCAGTTGGCTTGTAGATCCTATTCATGGCTTCCCTGGCAAAGCTCAGACCAACAAAAACGACATCTCGGTCCTGAAAGTAAATTTGCAATGTTATGAATTAGGTGTGAATACACATAAAAGGCAGCAATACTGAACAGTGAAACAGGAAATAAATATGTAGCAGTCTCACAGCAGATAATGCCTTTGCATATTCCAGGCTACAAAATATTTCTAACTTCGAAGGATGATGCTTATTGGGAGACAGGGAATCTATTCTTTTTTGTGTCTCCTCCCCTCTCTGGTGGAAAAAGACAGCATATATGAAACTTCATGGAATTTACTTCTTGTGTGTACAACCATAAAAATAAAAACAAAGCTGTTTTACTTATTACATTACTTTTTGCGTTGCACATAGATTTTTCTATTTGTTCTGTTGTTTTCTTTGACTATTATTTTCACTGGTCAGACAAATTATTCTATTTCACATCTTCTATTTTAAGGTTATTTTCAACATTTTTCATTCAGTATAAGATATGTCATCAAATTCACCATTTCTCTATTTTTGTTTTTGTGAAGGTATATTTTTAATTGTCTATATAATCATAATTCTTAGTAGTCATTTTAAAAAAATGCACACTTTACACAATTAATTTACTAAATGTGGCACAGAGACCCGTATGGTTTTAACAGAATACTTCCATTCAATATGGATATTAAAGCAGAAAAAAATTACCCTTTTTAATTCAAAATTTAAATAAATGTTTGATGTAAGAAAAAAATTAACAAGAAGAGTAGTTTTTCCCCAATAAACCTAGAAAGAATGAAAAATATTTAAAAATCAATACATTTAAAACCTGGCATGACAAATAGCATACAAACTGGTACATTTTTAAATCTCTGTATCAGGCATATCAGCTGTAATACGGTTGTTCTGGTGGCAGACTTTTTTGTTGTTGTTGAAAACATTTCATGTCTATTATAGTTTTGTATCCCAAACCAGGAATAATCGATCTGTCAGGAAAAGTTATCAGTGCCGCAGAGAACACACACATCAGCAGGTTACAACTTCATATCGCTACATGTTGAACAAACTGGCATATATATGTTTGGTTACTCTCACCTCAGGGGGCTGGTCATACTGATAGTAGGGGTCGTTGCCCTTATCTGTCTGGATGTTCGGATAAGATGGGAATACACTTCCATATCCCTAGAAGTAAAGGAAAAATATATTACTTATTTTCAATTTTAAAAAAATACATACACATAAATATATAAAAGTAAAAGTAAAGGTCCATTTTCACTCCTTAGGCGCATATGGGAAGAGCGTCCCATATGTTTACAGACCAATCAGCACTGGATGGGTAATGTGGTCAGCATTGCCCTGGCCATCTTTTCTTCCCAGGACAGTCATCCTGGTACCCATTTTAGGCTGGGTCGACCTGCGACGCCCCATACCATGAAAACAATCCACGCAGCCAGCAGTGGGATTTGATCGCGGTACGTTGGGTTACGAGTCGGACTCGCAACGCCTAAGCCACGGACGCCGCAAACATATATAAAGGGCCTATATATGACTTGTCAAATGGTATAGGTGTTTATGTCTCTCATTAGACCTCGGTGCCTGGCGTTTGAATCATTTCTACTAGGGCTTATTAGGTCAGTGTCTAAGATCTCCTAGCATTATTTCTCTACCTCCCTTACAGATGATCTTTCCACTCATCACAGTGTACTCCAATAACTGTCTTCCCATGCCATAACCACTGGTTCGGACCTTTCGAGATGTTGGTGTTATATTGTTTTGTAGAAGGGCATGGAAGCATGTGGTGATGGCGAGTGTGGCCGGCAACTCCATCTCATTAAGAAAAGACTTACAATCACAGCAGGAGATTATAGGATCATTGCTGACACCATCACATGTATTTAGTGTTCTTGTTCCCATACACTCAGCTCTCAACCTTTCTGCACTCATATTTTCCATTATTTCCACCCAGATTGTTCCTACGAATTTACCTCAATACCTGTATCATTCATGTTCCGCTTACTCATATCTTTAATAAAGAAGAGACTGAGTTTGGCATCTTTTACCCATGTGTAATTCACCATAGAGCAGGCAGGTCAAACTGGCGGCCCTTTGCAAGCCCGCCTGCGACCCACATAAAAAAACAATCTGCAATAATTTTTCTTAAATGACTCCAATTAGCTGTCATGTGTGGCCTCATGATGACAATATTTGACCCATATGCCCCTCACGGGACCCATAGTTTGATCTGCCTGCCATGGCGGATGTACATGACTATACACACTAAAACACACAAATATATACATTATTTGCAATATGAAAGAGAGAGAGAGAGAGAGGGAGAGAGAGAGAGAGAGAGAGAGAGAGAGAGAGAGAGAGAGAGAGAGAGAGAGAGAGAGAGAGAGAGAGAGAGAGATGATACAACACAAACAGCAACCAAAATAGCATTGCATGTAATGGAAGAAGAAGAAGAATATATTAAAATGATAGCACTTCCAATAGAAAACTCTTATTCATTTGATAAAAACCTGGAAAGGCTAAGAAAGATTGTTTTTAGCTGCTGTTTAAGAATCAAATCAAATTCAGCCTTTTACATCACTAGGAGAATTAGGGTCAGTAAAAACTTGGTGTTGCCTTGCTAGGCTAGAAATACACTCATCTTGCACCATGTTTGCACAATCTCCAAGTGTTTAGTGCAAGACTGTCCAAGTGTTGAGTGCAAGACTCTCCAAATGTTGAGTGCAAGACTCTCCAAATGTTGAGTGCAAGACTGTCAAAGTGTTGAGTGCAAGACTGTCCAAGTGTTGACTGCAAGACTGTCCAAGTGTTGAGTGCAAGACTCTCAAGTGTTGAGTGCAAAACTTTCCAAGTGTTGAGTGCAAGACTATCCGAGTGTTGAGTGCAAGACTGTCCTAGTATTGAGTGCAAGATTTAGCTGCTTGCAGTCCTCGTCTTAAGATCAGTACTCTTAGTTTTGCTGTCTTGCAGCATGCAAAGCTTGTTTTCTTGGCAGACTTCATCCAAAAGCCAGCATAGTTGATCTTGTCTTTGATAGATTCACTGATTTCCTCTTAGGATGAACCATCAGACAGTGCCAAAAGACCAGATTTAACACAAGGTGTATGCTACAAAAAAATGATTACCAAATTTAAACAATGCTCGGAAATTTCATTTAACTAAATATTATGATAACTTACAGGAGGTCCAGGGGGACCTGGAGGTCCAGGTGGGCCGTTGGGTCCCTGAGGAAAACAAAAAAACAGATTAAATTAATTTACACAATAAATGAATTACACACTAAATTTAGGTAAAAATAATTGATTTACACAGAAAATAATTTACTTACACAATAAATAATTTATTTAATAATACACACAGCTTGGAAATATAGTGGCAGAGCACATACCAAAATGGCTACATTCACAGCTGAGTTTACTTAATTGAATTACACACGGACACATAACTGACACAGACACTGCTTTCCGTGTGGTTTACCACACACCGAACAGGAGACTTTTGAGAATCGCAGAAGCCATAACATAAAAATCAAAAACCCTCTCCTTTGTAATAATACATAATTTTTTGCATGATAAATAATGTGATATTATGTCTATATTGTGATTGATTGGATACTAAAGAACACAGTAGACAGGACATTAAGAGGCATACGATGGACTCCATTCACCATGCTTGAGGACCTTGATTTTGCAGATGATATAGCACTCCTATCACATAAACACGAACAAATACAAGAGAAAAGTAACAGACTACACAGCACAGCAGAAATGGTGGGACTGAGAATAAATACAAAGAAAACTAAGATCATGACAAACAGTCCAAACCAACAACCAGTGACCATAAGTAACCAATCACTTGAAAATGTAGAACATTTCACATATCTTGGCAGTGTGGTGTCCCTACTGGGAGGGACAGAGGAAGACATACAGTCACGTCTGAACAAAGCTAGAGCTGCTTTTGGAAGGATGGGGCAAATCTGGAAATCCAACAATTACTGCAGAGGAACAAAACTCCGACTCTTCAAGAGCATCATTTTGCTAGTTCTTCTTTATGGAGCGGAATGCTGGAGAATGACCGAAAAGGATGCACACAAGCTGTCCACCTTCCACCACACATGTCTACGTAGAATTATCAAAATTTTCTGGCCAGATACAATCTCAAACACTAAACTACTTCAAGCCACAAACCAAGAAACTTTAGACAGTATGATTACCAAGAGAAGATGGAAATGGCTTGGTCACGTTATGAGAATGACTTCTGATTTACCTGCCAAAAAAGCTCTCACATGGACACCAGAGGGAAAGAGAAAACAGGGGCACCCAAAAACAACATGGAGACGAACGATGGAAAGTGACCTGAGTGCGGCATCTTTGACATGGAAAACTGCACTGAAGATTGCACAGGACAGGAAAGCATGGAAAGTCCTCTCTGAAGCCTCATGTGCCACTAGGCATAACGAGAACTGACGATGTCTATAAAAGAAAATTACTGTTGCACATTAGTTTCAATAAATGATCATTATTATTATTAGATTTTTCATCTCTTTAAATGTTCTGATGTTTCATAATACTTTTTTATCAGTATTATCTTACAGTAGCACAGACAGCCTCTGTCTCTGTCTTTATGCTACATGCATGCATTTTATAACACCAGTCATGATTTCTTCTCCAGAATCGAAGACTTTTTTTCTCCAAATCTTTTTATTACACCCATCAATACTTGTCAATTACTTTTACTTTGTCACACACATAAATTAGTTTATGACACCAGAGCTGCTAACTTAATTTCTGCACATTTTCAATTCTTCCAAAGAGAGGTAAGAAAACACAAACTGTAGCTCACCTTAGGTCCATCATCCCCGGCATTTCCTCGCACTCCCTAAAGTTGGAGAAAAATAAAAAGTTGTATGAAGATATTGTAAGTTTTATTCCATTAATTCGAAGAGAAAAAATAGATTGCATAAAATAAAGAAGGGAAAAAGAGGATAAAGTAAAAAAGCAAACGACAAGCAAATGAAGTGATCTACAGTCAACTAGAAAGACTGGTAGGCAGATTGCCAGACAGACGGACAGACAAACATGTACTGGTAACGGATAAATTTAGACCCACCCCACTTCACCCTCCAAAAAAAAAAAAAACCAGTATAGACATCATACAAAATACAAGCAAAATAATGAAGTGCATTAGATATCTTTATATGTGGTTAGACATAATAAAACGTTTTAAAATAGAAAATATGGAGTCCACTCAACAACGAAAAGTTGGTATTACATGTTCCTCATGCAGGCTGTGTAGTATTTGTTGTTGCCTCTAATACATCTCATACAGGCTGTACTTCTAGTAGTTTACTGCACCCAAATGTCAATACATTTTTGGCTGGCTGCTTGTAAGTAGTCGGTTACATGTTTTATTTCTTGCAGCATCAGTCAGGTTCTGGCAATGTGACCAAAACCATCTGGCTCACTGCCTCTCATGTTTTTCATGCTTCATGAGTCAAATTTGAACTTCTCTTTGACAAAATTTGCTTTTTGTATTAGCATACTGTTTTATTTCTTGCAGCATCTCAGGTTCTGGCAATGGTAGCAGTTTTTCATGAAGAAATTGTTGAAAAATTTGCTGGTTTTTTTTCAAATAACTGGAACATAACTTCTGCATTCGCCTTTAAAGACGACAGCATATGTTTATGTTGTGATTTACAGCTAGGCTTCACTTTCCAGCCCAACACAACCAGTTTCAGCAATTCCCTAATTAGTCAGCTTTTAGGACATGCTTGCTGGGGGAGAGAGAACAGTAGATCTGCTCATTCGCATCTAAATTCTTCTTCTTCTTCTTCTTCTTCGCGTTCACCAGCTGTACACTCTGGTGGAAAGTTCTGGTTGTTCGTCCACTTCTGAACTGCAGTCCTGCTCCACAACCTGGGTGTTGTGTGTACATCAGTTTTACAGATCTGATTTACTTGAATGCAGACTGTTGGTTCGTTGCCTCTCAGGCAGATGCACTCCGACTTCAAAGGAAGCTCCCAGTCTGCTCTTACGACATGCATTTGGGGCGGCAGTGGGTATATTCTTGTTTTTCCCACGATGGGGCCCCGGAACCAACACGGGGAGCATCTAAATTGTTCTTTTTCCATCCTCTTTTGTCCTACTGTTTATACAGTGAAGTGTCGCAGAGCGGAGTGAGATATAGCTTCCCACCTTTTGCTGAGTTGCTCACTTTAATGTTATATATCATTTCAATCTATCAACCCTTCTTTTTTTTTTTTGGCCGGCCTCTTGCCTTGCAGTCTGATGTTCAACCATTTGAATCTTTGATCTTCCGTGAAATAATTTCCCAGTACTGTGCTCACCCTTATTTTTAGTTATTTTTTTTGGTGACTTCTGGTTTTTCAGCCGCATTTCTTATACATCTTGTCTCACACAGGTTGTAATGTTGTCTTTGTGAAAAGGGAACTTTACTTTTTTTTCACTTTTACCATGACCGACACCGATAGCACAAATTTGGTACAAGTAGTGCATTTATCAGCTGCTTTTTTTGTGTGCACCTTGATGCTTTGACCTCTCAAAAGTTGGGCTGTTTGATACTTTATGTTGTTGTTGGTCTTCTGTACTCTTGGTTGTTTTTTTTAATCTGTCCGAGCTTCCATCCTCAGTCACAACACGTCCTCCCTCTAAGATGGGGTTCCTTTAACCACACAGGGAGAAACCTCAACAATACTCACAGAGTTGCCAGGTCGGCCTGCAGGTCCAGCTTCTCCTGGCCTGCCAGCTAGTCCTCTTGGTCCAGGTGGGCCCTGAATGTGGAGACAGTAAAATATTTTTAAACTGGATCTGGCAAAAAAAAAAACGTATATATATATATATATATATATATATATATATATATATATATATATATATATATATATATATATATATATATATATATATATATATATATATATATATATATATATATATATATATATATATAAAGCATACTCAATTATTATTTCTGTTGTTTTTTTTTTTTTTAACCCCGATTTGGCTGCTTCCCCTGTTATATTTAAAATAATGGCAATATGAGACCCCAGACTTATTTAATGTGATCCCAGTTAACGAAATCCTTTTATCTGTATAAAATTTTTTTTTTGGATCTCCTCATATTTTTTTAACTAACATATGAACTTATCTTTTATTCTTCTGTCTTTATCTGGTTTTTTTTTTTCTTTTTTCTGTTTGTGTTGTTTCTAACCATTTTCTGCTTTCTCGGGCTTATTATAATAAGTTCAGTCATTTAACAATGAAGCAGTTATAATAGGGGCACTCAAAAAGTTTTTGCAAAATAACCTATAGTCTAGTGTGGTTGGTAATAAGTATCTTATTCTGATTCTTTAAGCAGACTCAGTGGTTCTATTTATATCTAGAGATCCATCGAATCAACTTACGGCTTGTCCAGGGGGTCCAGGAGGTCCAGGTGGACCCAGCTCACCATTGTCACCCTGTTGAAGAGACATGCCTGCATTCAATACAAGGAAAATGTGGCTGCAATCACGTAATTGTACACGAACAAAGGTCCAATATTTTATGTCAGTAAAATAGTCCCACACAAAAAAAAAGGAGTTATGTGAGTTAAGAACTGACATCATTGCCTCCAGGACGTTCCCATAAACGGTCCCTCCCCCATCTTCAGCAGCAAGCACAGTTTCAATAGTACCAGTAATAGTTTCATTGTATGTCTGTCTACCCTTCCCCTGGTCACTCTTTGCTGTATTATTCTCCTCAGGCTGTGATGATATATTTGTGCCTTTACACTGTTTAATCACTCTCAACTGACCTTTACATCTAGGTTGTCATGTATCAGTTTATCACTAAGTGGAGCAGAACCAGCCAGTCTATCTGCCAATTCATTTCCCAACACACCTGCATAACTTGGAAAAAATATCCGAAAGGACGCTAACTACCTGGGACCTCTGAAGCGATGCTTGCCACTCTGCACGGAGCATAACTGTCTCCACGTTTCCCAACACGCTCTGTGAGTCAGTTACAATGATTCCATAATTTATCACAAGTGACACTCCCACTTGTGTCCTATCCCTTTTTTTAGTAGCCAGCCCAGTACTTTCATGCTGATCTCTGGTTTATGAAGGATTACTTTTACTGCACATCTATATCTTCGTAAGGGTATCAGTCTTTTACTATAATTACACAAGGCACAATCAACACCGCAGCACCTGTACATGAATCCTCAGAGTTTTTGTTCCTGTCCAAGTTTTTAAGATTTTTTTTTAACATTCCTACAAATGTTTACTAAGTGTTCTTCCTTTTTTTTCTGCAGTCATTTATTGATGTAATTGTAATGTGTGTATTTACGGCATGGCTGCGACATTTGTCCCTTTCGGCCAACATATCTGACTTCTTCAGGCATCTATTGTTCAGGCTGGCCTTCCCGAGATTAGTTAAGTCTAATTTATGTTTATCAGTTTATGCTTTTTAATCAGTTTCTTGATTGCAAACTTCGTCATCTTCTGGCCTAGAGAACGAGAGACTTTCAAGTGGCAGGCAAATTCCCCAACCACTTTGCCACCATGTTGCATGTGTAGGGGGTTGGGGAGGGAGGGGAGAAATCCTTCCTTTTACTGGAGATAGAAGCCAGACTAAAGTCTTGGCAGGACAATTCCCCAACCACTATGCCACCATGTTGCATGTGTAGGGCGGGACAATTCCCCAACCACTATGCCCCCATGCTGCATGTGTAGGGTTGGGAGACGAGGGGGAGGGGGAATACTTCCTTCACTGGAGATAGAACACAGACTAATGTCTTGGCAGGACAATTCCCCAACCACTATGCCCCCATGCTGCATGTGTAGGGCGGGACAATTCCCCAACCACTATGCCCCCATGCCCCCCATGCTGCATGTGTACAAGGGCTGATACTCACAGGGGCTCCAGGTAAACCTTGACCCCCTGGTCGTCCAGGCCAGCCCTTGTCTCCCTTGGGTCCATTCTTGCCAGCTCGGCCAGTCTCTCCTTGGAGACCTTGAGGGCCCTGGAAGGCAAACACACCAAACATATCAAATGTTATAAAATATATAAAATGTTACAAAAATATTTCCATACGTAGAAAATGTTATTAGTTTTAGTCACCATTCTCTTTTCTAACACCCAAACATACAAAATGTTATCAAAGTCTCGATAACACATTTTGTCTTACAGATAAGACCCAAACATACAAAAGTTTGAGTTCTGAGGTTGGCAAACGGCAAATAACCAATAACTCAGGTCTGAGTCCGAAGAAGCTCAGCACAGTGCACAAGCTCTGTAGCACCAGCGAGAATCCTGAAATACTTTGGGTAGATTTTTAACTCCAAATTTGTCCGGGCAGCACCGTTAGGCTACTCCTTTCGATTTCCAACTGCCAAGGGATTTTTTACATTTTCTAAATGCAACAATGCACACGGGCGTCCTTTCCAACTACCCAGACCAGAGGGAATTACTAGAAGTCCAAGTCCACGTGAAAAAACCTCAGCCCTTACTGGGGATTGAACCCGGCACCTCTAGCACTCGAGGCAAACGCCATCCCTCGAGACCACGCAGCTACCCAAAACATACAAAATGTTATCAAAGTCTTCATCCAATACATTTTGTCTTACAGCTAACAACCAAAACATACAGAATGTTATCAAAGTCTTCATCCAATACATTTTGTCTTACAGCTAACACCCAAAACATACAGAATGTTATCAAAGTCTTCATCCAATACATTTTGTCTTACAGCTAAACACCCAAAACATACAGAATGTTATCAAAGTCTTCATCCGATACATTTTGTCTTACAGCTAAACACCCAAAACATACAGAATGTTATCAAAGTCTTCATCCAATACATTTTTTCTTACAGCTAAACACCCAAAACATACAGAATGTTATCAAAGTCTTCATCCGATACATTTTGTCTTACAGCTAAACACCCAAAACATACAGAATGTTATCAAAGTCTTCATCCAATACATTTTGTCTTACAGCTAAACACCCAAAACATACAGAATGTTATCAAAGTCTTCATCCGATACATTTTGTCTTACAGCTAACACCCAAAACATACAGAATGTTATCAAAGTCTTCATCCGATACCGTTTGTCTTACAGCTAAACACCCAAACAAACAAAATGTTACTAAGGCCTTAAACTAAAATATTTGTCATTCAGGCACACTTAGTGTCTTCTTGGTTTATGTGTTTCAGCTAAGTTATGAGTTGGACAGAATCATTCTTCAGACTTTCACTGAGACTGTAAATGTTTGTTTACCTAACTTCAGGGGAAAGAACGTTTGTACAAGCAATGCACCTTACGCTCTGTGAAATGCAATGTAGTAGACTAGCAGCTTAACAAGTTTCCTAACACAAGCTATGAGTCACTTTGTGTGGTTCTAAAGCAGGGACAATTAATTTGGCAACTTAAGGAATAAAGATGGCTTATTTTTTTACCTCTATATAGCGCGTCCCCCCACCCCCCCCCCCCCCCACCCCCCCCCCCCAAATGGTCTCATAGGAAGTCTGGAAAATTTTGTTAGTTTGAATCCTCCCCTGAAAGAGTATTCTGTCTCATAGTACTATAGTGTTCCGTTCACCTGAGTACTCAGAAGACGTCTATTCCATTAAATATGGTGAGATTAACACAGAAGTTCAGTTTCCTTGGTAACTGTTTTTCTGAACTATTCGTCATCTGTCCAGATTTAGAATTTAGACAAGGATGCAAGACCTGTATTGGAACTACACATCTGCAGAAAGGCTTAACTGAATAACACTCAGAGCACATAGTCATGGTTAGATCAGGTCTAGGTGGTGTTTCCTACATGAAGTGTGAGATATTTCTCGGCCAGCAGACTCAAACTGGCAAGTGTGACATGGAAAACTCACCACAGGGCCTGGGGGTCCAGTAATTCCTTGTGTTCCTGGCGATCCACGCTCGCCCTGGCAAATGAAGAAAAACGGATTTTACAGACTGAAAAATGAAGCACAATATAAACATAAAAAGCATACTTGATGTGGAGGCAATAGGTTTATTCTTGTTTTCTCCACAATGTGGCCCTGGAATCCATACTGGAGTGTGCTTAATTTATTATTATCTGTTTTCTTGTATAATATCTGATGCCAGCTGTCATCAAGATATTTTTCTTGTTTTTCGTAATCAAATCTGCAGCTTTCAACACGTCTTCATGCTGACTTCTTATCATAACATGCTACAATTGTAAAAGAAATAACGAAGAGTAATGAATCAAACAACAACAAATTGAAAAGACCACACAAAAAAACAACAGGCATTATTGAAAAGAGGCAACAAACAGTAATGGACAATATTTAATTAAGGTGAAGAAAAGTAATGACTAATAAATATGACTAATAAATAATGTGGATAACAAAGAATAATGACAAGTAATAAATAAAAGGTAACACAGATTAATGATCCTAATAAATAAAAGTCAACAAGGAGTAATGACCAGTAATAAATAAAAGGCCATAAAGAGTATAAACCAATAATGAATAAAAGGCAACAAAGAGTAATAACCAATAATGAATAAAAGGCAATAATGAGTAATGACCAGTAATGAATAAAAGGCAATAATGAGTAATGACCAGTAATGAATGAAAGGCAACAAAGAGTGTTAACCAAAAAGGAATAAAAGGCAACAGAGAGTGCTAACCAGTAATGAATATACGGCAACAAAGAGTAATAACCAATAACGAATAAAAGTCAATGAACAGTAATAGCAAGTAATAAATAAAAGGCAAAAAAGAGTGTTAACCAATAATAAATAAAAGGCAAAAAAGAGTAATGAGCAATAATGAATAAAAGGCAACAAAGAGTGTTAACCAATAATGAATTAAAGGCAAAAAAGAGTAATGAACAATAATGAATAAAAGAAAATGAACAGCAATGACCAATAATGAATAAAAGGCAACAAAGAATGTTAACCAATAATGAATAAAAGGCAAAAAAGAGTGTTAACCAATAATGAATAAAAGGCAAAAAAGAGTAATGAGCAATAATGAATAAAAGGCAACAAAGAGTGTTAACCAATAATGAATAAAAGGCAAAAAAAAGTAATGAGCAATAATGAATAAAAGAAAATGAACAGCAATGACCAATAATGAATAAAAGGCAACAAAGAGTGTTAAAAAAATGAAAAACGTCAATGAACAGTAATGACAAGTAATGAATAAAAAGCAACAAATAATGTTAACGAATATTGAATATAAGGCAACAAAGAGTAATGACTAATATTAAATGAAAGACAATGAACAGTAATGACCAATAATGAATAACAGGCACCAAAGAGTGTTAACCAATAATGAATAAAAGGTAAAAAAGAATAATGATCAATATTGAATAAAAGACAATGAACAGTAATGACCAATAATGAATAAATGGCACCAAAGAGTGTTAACCAATAATGAATAAAAGGTAACAAAGAGTGTTAACCAATAATAAATAAAGGGTCACAAAGAGTGTTAACCAATAATGAATAAAAGGTAACAAAGAGTGTTAACCAATAATGAATAAAAGGTAACAAAGAGTGTTAACCAATAATAAATAAAAGGTCACAAAGAGTGTTAACCAATAACAAATAAAGGGTCACAAAGAGTGTTAACCAATAACAAATAAAGGGTCACAAAGAGTGATAACCAACAAAAGGCAACAAGAAGTCATGACTAGATATCGATCTTGTTGAACATACCCGTTCGCCTCGCTCTCCTTGTGGCCCAGGAGGTCCCGGCTGTCCTGCTACACCGGGTACCCCAGGAATGCCCGACGGACCTGAAGCACCTGATGGTCCTCTGGACCCCTTTTCTCCTGGTCTTCCTTGAACACCTGGAGATCCATCTTGACCTCGCTCACCCTAGGGGACAATAGATAAATAAAATCTTAAAGTTCAATAAGTGAGTTGTATTGCGGGATTTAGTTCAATTCTGGGATCACTCACACACTCACTTACCTACTCACTCACACTCATACACCCTCTCTCACTCACAAACTCACTAACCTACTCAGTCACTCACTCACTCCCCTCAACTTCAACTCACTCATTCTCTCTCCTTCTCATTCACTTACTCTTATTCTCTCACTTAATCTCACTCACTCTTACTCATTCACTTACTCACTCACGCACTCACTCATTAACTCGCCCAATCTTAATTTCACTCACTCACTCTTACTCTCACACCCACTTACTCTCTAATACACACACGTATACACATACAGAGATATGTATATATTAGTTGTGTATATAGTTATATAGAACATAGTGGGTTAATGTGCCAACAGAAGTAAATTAAATAACTAAAATAATAATCCTAACAGACTGAGTAGATCTAGCAGCTTTCCAGGACAGAATCGCTTCAAACAAATCAACGCTGACAAGAATCGACAACTAACGATAATACTAACGGGTTTTCCATTCTCTCCTGGGTGACCTGGTGATCCGCTCGGACCGGGCGGTCCTGGAGGACCTTGAGGTCCATCAGTTCCATCCCTTCCAGAAGCTCCTTGTTCTCCCTGCAGAGAAAAGGTAACATCTACTGAAGACAACAAGATTGCCAGATTTTAAATTATGCATACATTTGTCAGCTGGAACAAAATATGTAACTCTAAATTATATAGTCATACAACCAAGTTTAGTAGTTTCAGTTATAATCTATTTCGGTTTTAACATATGCTAGTGAAAGTTAGAGAACCATTAAAGATAGGAACAGAAGTTAAAAATGCATTCGAAAACAAATTCCTGAGAAAATAAAGAGAAAATGTGACGAATTCAAGAGGGGTGAAAAATAAGAGTGTAATACGTTTTGCAGGTAGATATACTTGTATATATAAATGTCAAAATGAATAATAACGGACATAGTAAGTGCTTTCTGGCAACATAACATTCATCAACATCATCATCATCCTATCCTGTAGGGTTTCCTCCGGTCTATCCTCCCGCCCCAACCTATCCTGGGCCGTTGTTACAATATCATGGATGGAATCCATGGATAGTTCAGCACCTTTGCCCTCTTGCACGTTGAGACGAATGATCTAAAAACCAATCAATGTATTTAATTTTGAGATGGAGAAGGGAGCTAGAGAATGAAGTTCAAAAGATAAGGAATAGACTGGGTGAGCAGCAGGCAACAGTAAAGAATAGAATGACTTGGCATGAGTTAGTTTAGGGCCTATACTTTATTGCAGGATAAAGAGCAAAAAAAAAAAGAAGTGTGCATTTCTGACTTCTGCAAAGTGGCTTTCATATGCAACCGTAATATGTGCAGTAGGTGCATCACACACCATATGACAATTTAATTTGCCAGAATGGATTCCAATTATGCAAGTTTCTGTTGCACACTTCTTTTATTACAGGCTGGGTTCGCTGGCTCCAAACCCAGACCTACTTCGTTTACATCGGAGCCTAGGACCTGCAATGGCAGAGATAACATCCACCACTGACTACTACTAATATTGTGAGAAAGACACCATGTACTAGATTTATCAGTAACGGCAGATCAAGTGGTCTGACCATCTCGATAGAATGCAGCAACATCATATACCATCACAAGCACTACATCTCAGAAGATCAGCTACAAGCGCAAGAGGATGGCCATGAAAATATTGATCGAAATCCTTAAATACACCTTGTGTTTTCCCATCATTACAATTGCCAATCTGTAAATAACCATATTAGAACAGGGAATGTCTCACTGGTTCTCCAGCAGGACCGGCCGGACCAGCTTCTCCTTGGGCACCATTAAATCCTGGGTTTCCTCTCTCTCCTTGAGGTCCTGCAGTGCCAGCTGGGCCTGGTGAACCCTGCAAACATAAATGAGCATTACAATAAGGTTTCTTTAATAGAAATTATTACAGTGCAAATTAAAATGTAATGGTGATCAGGTGTTAAAAAGCATTCTTCCTTTTTTTTTTTTTTTTTTGCACGATATAGAATTGAAATGAAATACAAGTCACTAGTTTTGCTTGCTTGTTGTACCCTACCAGGACATCACACAAGCGATAAACACCTGGTAACACAAAGTGCCACCGTGCGGATAAGGATCACCCATGGAGAGGTCACAGAAACCCCCTTCAGCCGTTATGGCCACATTTGTATCCCAGCTATATTCTGGGTTTCCGGCAGAAGCCAGGGTGGGGCTTCAAATAACGAAAAATTACATGCCACACTGAGACGACCATTAACTAAAAGTAATCACTAGTTTTTTTGTTTTGTTTTTTCATTGAAGGAATGATTAAATGACTGATTGTGTTCATGCTTAAGGATCACTATTATTACATACAAATAACCCCATACATGCTTGCATCCCTCAATAGATTACATGAGAAGAATAGTACCAATGAGGACCCAAGGCCACGTTTATTGTGAATCATATACCAATAAAGAATACAATCAGACACTTACCGCAAGGCCAGGGCTGCCTCTATCACCTGGTTGGCCATCATTTCCTGGTGGTCCTGGCACTCCATTCAGGCCAGGTAAGCCGGGAGGTCCTGCTTCACCTTGGGATCCCTGTGAAAGACAAAAGGAGTGACACTAGTAAAGGAGTTAGGATGTGAAAGGTGTAATTTCTCATGAAGGATATAGATATTGAGGTACAGGTGTTAGGGCAGGATGCTTTTACATGTGTTGCACAGAATAGAATAAGAATTTTTTTTTTTTTTTTTTTTTTTTTTTTAGTGATAAAATCATTGCAGACAGGTTAACTATTTCAGTCCCAATCAACTCACTGTACGTGCATTGATTATTCTACAAATATAATAAATTTCCAAATATGTCATTTCCATTGTTTTCTTACTGTAGTTCGGTTTATTTCATTTTTTTTAAACTCTAATTGATTCTGTCTGAGAAGTTTATAATATGAACTCAGTAGGTCCGCTAGATGGTTACTGGAAAGTGCTCTCACTTTAGGGCAGGAAGTGCTAAAGAAAACAGCTGCCCAGGATTAAAAGTAAATATCCTTGGGTCCTTTACAGAACGTCGCTCTCTTCAAGGCATGCCTGAAAGTGTCTCTTTCTTTAGCTATTATCCAGCCTATGAGCGCTTTCACAGCCAGTGCGTCTTCAATGTATTGTATCTGCCTTCGTGGCCTCGTTTTCCGGAAAGTACACCCTTTATCACTTTTCTCTCCAGGCCACCGTGTTGCTTAAAATGGCCAAAAGACCTCAGCTGTTGGTACAAGATGCTGTTTATGAGCCAATTCTCCTCGATGTTCAGATCATGTATAATGTCGCAGTTTTTCTTCTTGATCTACTATATTATAATAATTTATCTGTAGCATTTCATGTTAAAAGCTCCGATTTTGTATTATTTTTTTCAAAGACTGCGTAAGATTCCAAGACTCCAAGAATACCTATTGTGATATGAATGTATTACTTTGTTATCAAGATGGATATTGGATGATTCAACTTACCCGTTCTCCTTGAGGTCCTTGTGGTCCGTTGGGGCCGGGAGATCCTGGTTGTCCTGACTGTCCTTGGGGCCCAGGTAAACCAGGCTGGCCTGGTTGTCCAGCACTTCCAGGTGAACCTGCTTCACCATTTGATCCCTTGGGTCCGTCAGATCCGGGTGTGCCCTGGATGCAAGTAAACGAAATCAGTAATAATGTAAATCAGCTGGTAAACTTGGTGGGAAAAGAGAAAGGGTAGTGGTATGGAAGAAATGCCCGGAATACGTCTGAGTGAGTTACTTTAAACCCCACTGGGACTGTATACTGAGCGATTAACATCCAGTGACCCAAAGAGAAAATAATTAGATGAGAATTTCCCCATTTACAAATCTCAGAAACATTGTTTAACCGTAAGGTTATAATGATGCCCTTCAACGGTTGTGTGGTAACATGGAGTCTGGGCAAGCTATGGTGTGCCTAGAGTTCTTGGACAAACTCATTTAATAATACAAGAAGATAAGCCTGATGTGATGACCATGTTAAGCGTGGTGCTACGCGGTCAAGGCACGCCGAACAGAAAACCCGTGCAAGAAAACACGGCATGGGGTGCTCGCGACAGGGGAGATAAACGAGGAAAAATCTAGAGATTGGCTCTTGGTCAGTTGTACACCAGAGGTCGAGGTAGACGTTTGTAATGTAGTCGATGTAGTTTAACTAAAGTGTACTAAAAGTGTGAATGATTATTGTAGGATTGTTGTGGGAGGTTTTAACGTTGGATGTAGTTGAATAAACCTTGATTAGAGAGTGGAGGAATGGTGAGGCATAAACTGGCAGAATTTTCATTGTAACCTGAGTGCTGTTCTGGGTTGTTAACTGTAGGCAGTTGTGTTTGTTCCCAAGTTGGTAGCTGTGTATGTGTGCAGCAAGGTCTGCAATTGTGTTTGTTCCCAAGTTGGTAGCTGTGTATGTGTGCAGCAAGGTCTGCAATTGTGTTTGTTCCCAAGTTGGTAGCTGTGTATGTGTACAGCAAGGTCTGCAGTTGTGTTTGTTCCCAAGTTGGTAGCTGTGTTTGTGTGCAGCAAGGTCTGCAATTGTGTTTGTTCCCAAGTTGGTAGCTGTGTATGTGTGCAGCAAGGTCTGCAATTGTGTTTGTTCCCAAGTTGGTAGCTGTGTATGTGTGCAGCAAGGTCTGCAGTTGTGTTTGTTCCCAAGTTGGTAGCTGTGTATGTGTGCAGCAAGGTCTGCAATTGTGTTTGTTCCCAAGTTAGTAGCTGTGTATGTGTGCAGCAAGGTCTGCAATTGTGTTTGTTCCCAAGTTGGTACATGTGTATGTGTGCAGCAAGGTCTGCAATTGTGTTTGTTCCCAAGTTGGTAGCTGTGTATGTGTGCAACAAGGTCTGCAGTTGTGTTTGTTCCCAAGTTGGTAGCTGTGTATGTGTGCAACAAGGTCTGCAGTTGTGTTTGTTCCCAAGTTGGTAGCTGTGTATGTGTGCAACAAGGTCTCATAAAGCAATGATGCTAACTAGAATGTGGAAGCCCTCGACTGGAAGCCAGGTAGAATCCAGCAACACTGAAAGTAGCCAGCATTACTAAACCTGATCCTAGACTGGTGATCATTATATGAGATGGTCTTAGTATGAACAGCAGAAACATTAAAGTAAGGGTCATTCACCTCTTTCTTCTTTCACCGGCTGTAGACTGTTGGGAAGTTACGGTTGTTCATCCACTTTTGGACTTTCACAGATCAGGCTTATTTGTGTGCAAGCTATTGGTGTTTTTGCCTCTCAGGCAGAAGCACTCCAATTTTGAAGAAACCACTGTTAATTAGTTGCTTTTTACAACATGCTCGATTGAGGAAAGGAGGAGGGACAGTGGGCCTATTCTTCTCCCCCCCCCCCCCACCCAAATGGGTGTCTGGAAGCCGAAGGGAGTAAGAGAAAGGATTGACAGTAGATGATTTGAAGGGTTTGTACAAACATCATAATGAGTGCTTCATGGCATGGACAAACACACAAAATGAAACACTAGTTGAAAGTTAAACCCCAGAGGATCAGCTTCATTGCAACGGGTTTTATCTCACACGGCTTGAAGTCTCTCTGCAGAGTAGTTAGCCGCCTGCTGATAGTGTCGCACCAAGCTCGAACCCAGTAGCTCTGGCAACATTCCCTGTTGATCTCCATAAGAATTTCACTCGCGAAATGAACGACGCAGCCATGAACTGAACTCACAATCTTCATAACATGAGGCAAACAGTTTGACCATTTCGCCAGAAAGCCAACGTGTATAGCAAAGGCATGCAAACACCCACAAGACTTTCTCTGTTCAGGGTAATACTTACAGGTTCTCCTGCAGAACCAGGCTCGCCAGGGTATCCCCGAGGACCTACATCACCCTGAAGAAGAGAAACAATGTGAATATGTCAACCAGACAACATCAGTTTGCAACAACAGAATATATGAATCACTGTCTTCTTCCTCTTCTGCTTCCTATCCCCCAGTGGAGCATAGGCTCTCAACCAACTGGGGTTATTTGTTCTATCCTTCCTTCTTGAATGCAGCTCAGCCCATGTCCTCCACATCTGTTTAACTTCACTCTCTAGCTACCCTCTCCGTGGTCTGCCTTTATTTCTATGCCCCTGTTTGTTCTGGTGTAAAGACATATTAGTTATATTGTTCTCAGTTTTCTCAACGTGTGTCCTATTTAACGCTAGCGTCCTTTCTTCACCTTTTGCTACACTGGAACTTGTTTAGTTCTCTCTCTAATCTCATCATTGGTGATTCTATCATACTACTTAATGCTCTTCATTCTGCGCAGGCGCAGGCACCGTTAATGAATATTTGTAACATTGCACATACAGAATGTGTGGATCAATAAAATGCAGTTTAAACAGTAAGGAACAAACCTTGCGTTGACAAGTAGACAATATGACTGACTTTCTATTCCATCAGGACATCATACTGAGCGATAAACACCCGGTGATACTAAGTATCTCCATGAATGAGTATCATCTGTGGAGCGATCCCAGAACCCCGTTTAACGTTAGGCCATTTTTCAGGTCTATATTAGGACCCCTTGTTCTTCTGCTTCTTCTTCTTCTTCTTCTTCTTCTTCTTCTTCTGCTGCTGCTGCTGTGCTGCTGCTGCTTCTTCTTCTTCTTCTTCTTCTTCTTCTTCTTCTTCTTCTTCTTCTTCTTCTTCTTCTTCTTCTTCTTCTTCTTCTTCTTCTTCTTCTTCTTCTTCTTCTTCTTCTTCTTCTTCTTCTGCTTCCTTTTCTATTTCTTGATGCTCACCAGCTGTAAACTTAGGTGGAAGGCTCTGGTTGCCTGCCCATTTGTTACCTTTATTCGTGTTCCAGAAATAGAGTTTTGCATACACATCGCACTACAGATATAGCCTATTCATATGCAGATTGCTGGTATCTCTGCTATTAGGCAGATGCGTCATTCCAACTATAAAGGAAACACTCCTTATCAGTCACGACAGGCTTGTCTATTGCCCCCCCCCCTCCACACGCCGCCCCCAATGGGGCCCTGGACCCCACATGGAGAGTAGTAACATTGACAAAAAAGCTTCTTCTTCTTCCTTTTTTTTTTCATTCTTTTTTTTTTTTTTTTCTCAACTTTTTGCCCTTAAACTATCTATACCTTTAAGTTTAACATCTCTGATTTCAGCAAACCCTAATGCTTCACCTTTCACAACATGCTAATTGAGAGTTGGTGGGTCTATCCTCCCCCCCCCCTCCCACCCCCTTCCCCAAACTCATAGGTCCCTGAAACCCACACTTAGAAGAAAACAGGTTCAAGGTCACCTACCCTAGGACCAGGAGTCCCATCGCCCCCAGGAGCTCCAGCCTCCCCTGAAATACCTGGAGCTCCGGGCAGACCCACGGGCCCAGAGGGACCTGGCGGGCCATCTCGACCTGCAGGCCCCTGAAGTCCCGGTGCCCCCCGGCTGCCTGGCGAGCCCCTGTCTCCTGGGTTGCTGACACTTCCACTTGGCCCAAGTGCACCCTCCGCCCCAGGCGGTCCAGGCTCTCCAGGTGGTCCGGATTCACCATCTCGACCACTTTCACCGAGAGCACCCTAAGACAAAGAGATTCGGGAGAAAGATGAAAACATGTTTACAGTATACAATGTTTCTATAGCTCACCGTTTCGCCATTTTTTTTTTTTTTTTTTTACATGAAACTGGCTATTGAAAGTAGAACATTATATACAACAATGAAAAGGAGACACAAAGTTCTTTGGTCATGTGATGAGAAAAGAAGCACTGGGCAATTTCGTGACGACTGGAAAGATTGCTGGTAAAGGAGGCAGAGGCAGACCCCAAAAAAAATGATAGTGGATGAAGACGGTTGCATGAGGAAACATTATCAGGGGAATTAATCCAGACACCAAAGGCCGAGATCTGTGGAGATGCACGAAGCCTGTTGGCAAGGCACTTGATGATGATGACTATGGTCTCTCTCTTTTTCTTCACTTGAAACTTGACAAATAAGAAAGTTCATTTAGTTCTTCTGCATAATTTTCAATTTTCTTTTCATCTTCTTCTGCTTTTTTTTTTTTTTTAATTGATAATCATTGTTTTTTTTTTTTTAAACACAGCCATTTTTTTTTTTAAGGGGGGGGAAGAGATTATAATCTGAAAAAAAAACTGATTCAGTTTTAAACTTTTTGTTCCATTCCAGTCCTCTGTCAGTCAGGGACTGTCGGGTGTTATCTTTACAGCGGACCCTGGGTCGCCCTGAAGGTCTGGTTCCCTGGTCTTCTTAGTATCCAACTGCTGTTAACTCCAGTGGAAAATTATGGTTGTTTGTCCACTCATGGACCTGGGTCTTGATTCAGAACTTGAATTTTGCGTGCACATCTTTTTTTTTTTTTTTTTTTGCAGACCTAGCTTTTTTGTATCCAGGCTGTTGGATCCTTGAATCTGAAGCAGATGAACCCCGACATCAAGGAAACATCCCTAATTGGTCGCCACCTAGGACATGCTTGTTAAGGCGACAGTGGGTCTACTCTGTGTTCTCTGGAAAGGAGTCCTGGAACCCACACGGGGAAGCTTGAAGTGAGCAAAGAGCCTGGGCAATTGTCAACAGTTTATTCGGGAAAGACAAGGAGAATTTGTGTCCGGGTGAAAATGGCACCAGCAGTACATGAACTCTTTGTTGGCTACTGGGGAAAGAGACAGAGCACGTGTGGTAATATCCTAAGTGCAGTCATATCTTCTTCTCTTCTGCATTTCTAGTCCCCAATGGAGCATAGGCCCTTAACCAACTCACGCCAAGTCGTTTTATCCTTTGCTATAGCATGCAGCTCTCCCCATGTCCTGCCCATCTTTCTACCTTCATTTTCCAGCTCCCTTCTCCGTGTGTTTTTTGGTCTTCCTTTCTTTCTATGCTCCTGTGGGTTTGAATGCAAAAAACATTCTATTTAGATTGTTCTCCTTTTGTCTCAATGTGTACAAACAGTGTCTTTTCTTCACCTTTTGGCCCACTGGAACTTGCTTAGTTCTTTCCCAAAGTTCTACATTAGTGATTCTATCATACCATTTAATTCCCTCTATTCTGCACAAGTTAATGAATGTTTGTAGATTATTAGTAATTGCTTTAGTTCTTCTCCATGTTTCAAAAGTACTGATTGGACATAAGAATTAAAAATTTTAGTTTTTCCTCTAATTTCTTCTGACCTCCACAAATTCCCTATTGCTATGAAAGCTCCTCCTGCCTTTTGTATTCTTATTTTAATATCTCTATCAGTGATATCCATTACTGATTAACTCACTCAAAAAGTGTCATCCAAGTTACTAAACGTATTCAATAGCCATGCAGGAGACAAGAAACACTCACACCGATAAAACAACAAAACCAAACTAGCAACTTACTCTGAGTCCTCTTGGTCCTGGCCGGCCATTTGCACCTCGTTCACCCGGGGAGCCCTGCAGAAGGAACAATGCTGTAATATTATTTTTTTTTTAATTTTTAAACTAATATTTCAAAGCCCCCAAAAAAATTCAGAGTCTAATTGTTTTAATACGCTTACGAGGTCCCGCCTGTCTCTGTGAAGACTACTTAGTGTTTTTTTTTTTTTTTCATGATATTCTATGATAACAGACTGAAATAGCTTGGGCATATTGAAAGAATGTCAGATGACAGAGAAGTAAAAACTGTATACAGGAGGGAGATGAATGGTCGTAGACCAGGAGGCAGATCAAGAAGACGATGGAGAGATGATATTCAGACAGACCTGCAAACACTTGGTGTCACCAACTGGAAAGAGAAGGACAACCAGAGAGATGAATGGAGGCGTGTCATATCTGCAGAAATGAACCTTGAGGGCTCGGAATGCTGAAAAAGTAAAAGATTATATTCTTTTCATTCTTCTCAAAAACCAATTTTTGCCGCGAGTAAATCTTCTCAGCTTCTTGTCCATGTTTGACATGCATAAAACAAGATAGGTTTTACATAGCACTTTAACACTGTTTTTCTTGCTGCAGCTGACATCATCACACACACACACACACACACACACACACACACACACACACTTTGTGGTCGAAAGTTCAGTTCTACTTACTGGTAGCCCTTGAGGTCCGGGATCACCCCTCTGTCCATTTGGTCCGACTGGGCCCTGAGATCATGAAACAGTAACAGTAACATATTTACAAATGATAACATTAGTTAACTTCAGTTACAGCAGTGACTTCGTTACAACTGCTAACACTAGTTAACTTCAGCTACAGCAGTGACTTATTTACAACTGATAACATTAGTTAACTTCAGATACAGCAGTGACTTCGTTACAACTGCTAACATTAGTTAACTTCAGCTACAGCAGTGACTTTTACAATTAATTAGGTTTATACGCAATGAAATAATGACCTACAATTGGTAACTTTAATAACAATTAAAACATTCCTTATTTAGAATTATTAACATTATTATGATATTAAATCTTCTTCTTCTTTGCGTTCACCAGCTGCAAACTCTGCCGGAAAGTTCTGGTTGTTCATCCACTTTTGGACTGCAGTCCTGTTCCAGAACCTGAGTGTTGCGTGTGCATCCGTTTTACAGATCTGACTCATTTGTATGCAGACTGATGATATTAAATAATGAATTTTCGCAATTAATTACCATTAATATGAAATAAAATAGTGGCTCACATTTGATAACATTTACATCAAACAAAAAATAAAATGAAACAATATTATAAATGCTATGCACACAAGATAAACTGCAACCTCTTGAAGAAACACAGAACTATCTTCTTCTCATCAACTATGCGCTAGGGGCCATGTTTGTGTAGTGGATAGTATACTTTTCAACCTTCCCCAAAAATCATGTTCAATCCCTAATTGATGCTGGAATTTTGTGTATTCACTTTTTATTTGCTTTCTTATAGCCTTGTGAAACCCAATAGCATCTATCAGGGAAACATTCACATCAGTCGGATATAGTTTTTTTCTTCATTGAAAACGGGACAGATATCTTCTTCTTCTACTTCTTCTTCTGCCTTTCTAGCCCCCAATGGAGCATATGCCGTCAACCAACTCACGCCAAGTCGTTCTATCCTTAGCTCTCACTTGCAGCTCTTCCCATGTCCTCCCCATCTTTCTAACCTCATTCTACAGCTCTTCCCATGTCCTCCCCATCTTTCTAACCTCATTCTACAGCTCTCTTCACCACGTGTGTTTTTTTTTTTTTTTTTTGGTCTTCTTTAATTTCTAAGTACCTGTAGGTTCTGGTGCAAAGACATTCTAGTTATACTGTTCTCCGGTTTTCTCAACGCGTGTTCTATCCAAAGTCAGCATCTTTTCCTCACCTCCTGGTCAACTAGAACTTCTGTAGTTCTCTCCCAAAGCTTTCTATTAGTGATTCTACCATACCATTTAATTCCCTCTATTCTGCGCAGGCACCAGTTAATTAATATTTGTAGTTTATTATCAATCGCCTTAGTTGTTTTCCATGTTTCCGCCGGGAACATGTTTGCATCTCAGATAAATATTAGTAAATGACTCTATACACATCTTTCACAAATCTGACAAATAGTGGTTGACATATTAAAAGACCCATCAGTACCTGGCAGGTGATGTGGTCAGCATCTAACAGTCGGACACTATCTGCCAGAATACCTGGTACCCATTTAAGGGTGGGTCGACCCAGGAATCAAAGTCAATTCTGAAAGAAATCCACCCAGCTAATATGTGAACTTTTGACCTTCAGGCCGGCAGGTTAGCATCTCGCTGCTATGTTACCGCAGCTCCAGTATATGCTTATAATAGACAGAAAATGCCCGCTGAATGGACTGGGGAAATGGAAGATGTTTACATTACACTACTCAATATTATAACCTGGCATGAGAGTGGCAATAGTATGCCAGTTTGGATGATCACCAGGTATTGGAAGCCAAGAATATAGAGCTTCAGAAAGGTCCTCCAGAACCAACTGGCAATGACTAGGGACCCAAAATTGAGCAGACGAGTTTTTTTGTTTTTTTTTTAAGTACAGCTGAAATTGTGCAGTGGAACAGTAAGGGCAAAAACACAGTGTAGAGACGCATTACAGCCAACATTAATTGAAATTATGGTCTCTGATTAATTAAATGGAATCCTAAAGTTGTAATGCAAGAGAAAGTAATCTATAAACTGTATCTAGGTACCAGCAGATGACTGAAGACAAGAAACTGTTGAGCAGCCACCTGATGATAACAGAGTTCATTTATACAACTAATATTTTTTATTAGAATACTGAGCTAGGAAATGCAGAAGAAGAAAGAAAAAGAAGAAGTAGAAAAAAAAAGGGAATTAGCAAGAAGAAAACTAGAGGGAGAAGAAGAAAAGCAACATCAGACAGGTCATATACACAGGTGCTCTAGCCTGGGCTAGGAAATGAAGAAGAGGGAGAAGGAAGAGAAAGAAGTAGGAAGAGAAACGAACAAGAAGGGGGAAGGGGAGAAGACAAAGAAGAAAAGCAACATCAGACAGGTTGTACTTACAGGTGTTCTGGCCTGGGCTAGGGAATGAAGAAGAGTGAGAAAAAGATAAACAAGAAAAAGAGACGAATAAAAACAAGCAACATCAGACAGATTATACTCACTGGTGCTCCTGCCTCACCCTGAGGACCTGCAGGTCCCCTCTCACCTGGGGCTCCCCGAAGACCTTGAGGTCCAGGGCCACCTGGTCCACCTTGTGGTCCCTGTAAAACAGATCCAAATGAATTCACTCAGATTCTAAAACTGATTTCTTTTTCTTGAAACTTGTTCCGATGTCTAAAGTAATTTATCATACATATAAGCTACTGGTACCATCAGAGCTGAAGATAGGGATGGAGTGCTTATGGGAGTTTTTGAAAAGCAGTAACTTTTTCCTTTTTCTTCGTCTTGCCTCTTTCTTCTATTTCTTTGTGAATGATTGATGACATTATTTCCAGCAAGTATCATGAAGTATCAAAGAAAAATTATCAGAATATCTTGGACAAACAAGAGGATAAATACTGACATCTTGAAAGATCTGAACATCAAGGAAAATTGGTTAATAAACAGCATCCAGTCTCGGAAGCTGAAATATTTTGGTCATATCAAGCGCGACGACGGACTGAAAAAAATAATAGCAGAAGGTATGGTACCAGGAAGGAGGGGCACGGGCCGACCAACACGAAGATGGGCACAGGATATAAGTGACTCCTTGAGTATGATTGTACATGAGACGGGGGAACCTGGCGAGAGACCGAGTTTCTTTCATGCAGACCGTGATGAGAGCGACGTTCTGCAAAGGACCTGCTACATGATGAGAATGGTCATGAACCCACTGGTACTGTAGAAAGTTTTTAGCTTCCTCATAGCTAAAGACACAGTCTGAAAGACCTTGCTCTGTTCTGCCAAGTCTGTTTATGCTGACAAAACGCAGCTGTATATTTAGGTTACTGACCTCTCCGTTTTGTCCTTATATGGCACTGGATAGTGGACTAGGGATATGGTACTGGTAAAGTAAAGGACCCTGTTCACCTAATTAGAGATATGGTACTATAAAGTGAAGGATTCTTTTCACATAATTAGAGATATGGTACTGTAAAGTGAAGGATTCTTTTCACATAATTGGGGATATGGTACTATAAAGTGAAGGATTCTTTTCACATAATTAGAGATATGGTACTATAAAGTGAAGGATTCTTTTCACATAATTAGGGATATGGTACTATAAAGTGAAGGATTCTTTTCACATAATTAGGGATATGGTACTATAAAGTGAAGGATTCTTTTCACATAATTAGGGATATGGTACTATAAAGTGAAGGATTCTTTTCACATAATTAGGGATATGGTACTATAAAGTGAAGGATTCTTTTCACATAATTAGGGATATGGTACTATAAAGTGAAGGATTCTTTTCACATAATTAGGGATATGGTACTATAAAGTGAAGGACCCTTTTCACATAATTAGAGATATTGTACTATAAAGTGAAGGATTCTTTTCACATAATTAGGGATATGGTACTATAAAGTGAAGGATTCTTTTCACATAATTAGGGATATGGTACTATAAAGTGAAGGACTCTTTTCACATAATTAGGGATATGGTACTATAAAGTGAAGGACTCTTTTCACATAATTAGGGATATGGTACTATAAATTGAAGGACTCTTTTCACATAATTAGGGATATGGTACTATAAAGTGAAGGATTCTTTTCACATAATTAGGGATATGGTACTATAAAGTGAAGGATTCTTTTCACATAATTAGGGATATGGTACTATAAAGTGAAGGACTCTTTTCACATAATTAGGGATATGATAGAGGTAAAGTAAAGGACTCTTTTCACATAATTAGGGATATGGTACAGGTAAAGTAACGGACTCTTTTCACATAATTAGGGATATGGTACAGGTAAAGTAAAGGACTCTTTTCACATAATTAGGGATATGGTACAGGTAAAGTAACGGACTCTTTTCACATAATTAGGGATATGGTACAGGTAAAGTAAAGGACTCTTTTCACATAATTAGGGATATGGTACAGGTAAAGTAACGGACTCTTTTCACATAATTAGGGATATGGTACTATAAAGTGAAGGACTCTTTTTACATAATTAGGGATATGGTACTATAAAGTGAAGGACTCTTTTCACATAATTAGGGATATGGTACTATAAAGTGAAGGACTCTTTTCACATAATTAGGGATATGGTACTATAAAGTGAAGGATTCTTTTCACATAATTAGGGATATGGTACTATAAAGTGAAGGACTCTTTTCACATAATTAGGGATATGGTACTATAAAGTGAAGGACTCTTTTCACATAATTAGGGATATGGTACTGGTAAAGTAAAGGACTCTTTTCACATAATTAGGGATATGGTACTGGTAAAGTAACGGACCCTGTTCACATAATTAGGGATATGGTACAGGTAAAGTAACGGACCCTGTACATGCCTTTATGCGTATTGGGCATAGAGGGCTAAACGTATATTTTATAGACCAATCGGCATTCTGTTGATTTTGTGGTCAGTATCCCACCAACCGCCTTTACTTCCCATGAAATTCTTAGAACTCATTTCAGTCTGTCAGCCAGGGAATCTTGGGTCAATTATGAAAATCCAAGACCTTTGATCTGAAGCAAGAGACCCGTCATTCTACTGCCGTGGCTCTTGGAATCAGAGAATAACAAAACCGTGTCAAGGCCAGCAGCCATTTTTAGGAACAAAAGAGTTCTCAGAAGCGACTCATCCTTAGAAACTAAACTATTTGAAAATACAAAAAAGTTTTAGAAGCACACATACATTTTAGACACAAAACAAGTTGTAGAAAAAAAAACAATTTTCAGACAAAGAAAAAAATTCTTAGAAACAAAAGTTTTCAGAAAGAAAAATATTCTTATGAACAAAACCATTTTATTTTTATTTATTTTTTAAGAAACAAACCAATTTTCAAGAGCAAATAAAATTGTTACAAACAAAATAGTTTTTACGAGCACACACCGAAGAAAATCTTTGAAACAAAAAAGTATTTAAAAACACAACACTGACCCTGTCTCCAGCTGGCCCTGGTTCGCCGGGACTACCAACAGGTCCTGGGTCGCCATTCCTTCCATCATTGCCATTTGGTCCTGGTGGTCCGGGGATACCCTGACGATGAAACAAAAACGTAAGGAGATCAGATGATGAAGGTGAATGATACAGTACTGGGAGGTAGGTTAGCAGGAGGAGAAAATATGATGGGTAGAAACAGAGCCGTCTTAACAGCATCTTAGGCCCCTGTGCTAATTAGTGTGCTGAGGCCCCCTACTACAACCGCTCACATGGATGAAATGTAAATGGTCATTTGACACACATAGATTAGCACGGGGACTCAATGCTCGTGGGACTCCCGAGCAAGTGGCCAGCTGGCCTATGGGTTAATAGGGCTCTGGGTAGAGCAAGTGGACAGATGAGACCTGAAAAGTGATTGGTAGAGAAATTTCACAAAAAGAAGTGCAGACGGGTGTGATATGTAGACAAGTAAAATAAGAAAAGGGGGTAGATTAATGTGATAGGTAAGGTAGACACATGAGATAGGAAAGGGGGTAGATGAATGGGTTTTTAATTTATAACGTACCCCAAACACGAAATCCCCGTGGGAAATCCACAGCTGACCTGACAGTCCATTATTTAAAGGGGTGGAAGTGTGCTGTTGTGTGTGTGTGTGTGTGTGTTTTTTTTTTTTTTTTTTTGTGAGTGTTCATCTAGTGTTTTCTAATCCTAACCCTAACCCTAACCCTAACCCTAACCCTAACCCTCACCCTAAACTTGGCTGTAGATAAATCGCGAGAAACTACAACCTGAACACCCTAGAATTTATTGGGAATGTCTCCCGTGACGTTGTCGTGACGTCAGGGGTAAGTTATAAATTAATTACCGATGAATGTGATAGGTAAGGTAGACAAATGAGATAGGAAAGGGGGTAGATGAATGTGATAGGTAAGGTAGACAAATGAGATAGGAAATTGGGTAGACGTATGGGATAGTTAGACAAATGAGATCAGAAAAGGGGTAGATGGATGTGATAGACAAATGAGATAGGAAGAAGGGTGTGAAGGGTGGATAGATGTGACGGGTACAGAAAGTAGAAACAAGATCATAAGAAAAAGTATACAGCTGTCCATGGTAGAGCAGTGTGAAAATAAGATCAAATGAAAGTATACATATGTGATGGATAGAACAAGGAGGCAAATGAGAACATAAAGGAAACTAGGTGAATATGATAGATAGATGTGACAGGCAGATGAGAAGGATAGACATATGTGACAGGCAGATGAGAAGGATAGACATATGTGACAGGCAGATGAGAAGGATAGATATATGTGACAGGCAGATGAGAAGGATAGACATATGTGACAGGCAGATGAGAAGGATAGACATATGTGACAGACAGATGAGAAGGATAGACATATGTGACAGGCAGATGAGAAGGATAGACATATGTGACAGGCAGATGAGAAGGATAGACATATGTGACAGGCAGATGAGAAGGATAGACATATGTGACAGGCAGATGAGAAGGATAGACATATGTGACAGACAGATGAGAAGGATAGACATATGTGACAGGCAGATGAGAAGGATAGACATATGTGACAGACAGATGAGAAGGATAGACATATGTGACAGACAGATGAGAAGGATAGACATATGTGACAGGCAGATGAGGATAGACATATGTGACAGGCAGATGAGAAGGATAGACATATGTGACAGACAGATGAGAAGGATAGACATATGTGACAGGCAGATGAGAAGGATAGACATATGTGACAGGCAGATGAGAAGGATAGACATATGTGACAGGCAGATGAGAAGGATAGATATATGTGACAGGCAGATGAGAAGGATAGACATATGTGACAGACAGATGAGAAGGATAGACATATGTGACAGACAGATGAGAAGGATAGACATATGTGACAGGCAGATGAGAAGGATAGACATATGTGACAGGCAGATGAGAAGGATAGACATATGTGACAGGCAGATGAGAAGGATAGATATATGTGACAGGCAGATGAGAAGGATAGACATATGTGACAGACAGATGAGAAGGATAGACATATGTGACAGACAGATGAGAAGGATAGACATATGTGACAGACAGATGAGAAGGATAGATATATGTGACAGGCAGATGAGAAGGATAGACATATGTGACAGACAGATGAGAAGGATAGATATATGTGACAGGCAGATGAGAAGGATAGACATATGTGACAGACAGACGAGAAAGACAGACGAGGTTGATAGTTGGAAAAGGTAAATGAAAGAGAGATGTGTTCCATTAACTCTCAATAATGATAAGATTTTGAAGACTGTACACTTTAACAAACAACAACAAATATACCTGTGATCCAACTTCTCCTGGATTTCCAGCAGGGCCTGTATCCCCGGGTGGACCCTGGACACAGAGTCAATGACAGAACATCAGCATTCAGATGTTGTTGTCTTTGTGTTTATTTGAAGCAGTTTTTTTTTTACACTTTTATTATTCTTTTTCTCATCTCTCTCTCTCTTTTTTTTTCTCTCTGTCTGTCTCTCTCTCTCTCTCTCTCTCTCTCTCTCTCTCTCTCTCTCTCTCTCTCTCTCTCTCTCTCTCTCTCTCTCGTTCGGATGTTTCCTCTTACTTTATCTTTCTCATTTCTGCTCTCTCCCTTTATTTTCCTTTATTTCTTTTCTACTCTCTCTCTCTCTCTCTCTCTCTCTCTCTCTCTCTTTCTCTTGCATTTTCTCTCTTTGTACCCCCCCCCCCCCCCGTCTTTTGCTGTCTCTTTTAGTTTAACTAATCTCTGCCCCACCACCCCCTTATCTCTCTCTCTCTCTCTCTCTCTCTCTCTCTCTCTCTCTCTCTCTCTCTCTCTCCACATATTATGTCTATGTTACTATAAGTGTGTACACATGTTTTCTGTGGCGAAAAAAATGGATTTCTTTCAATAGACGATTCGCAAATCAGTAAGGGAGAAAATTAGGTCTCTTTAAAAAATATTATAAAAACAGACTCAGAATAGATCATAAAACTTCTTCTTCTTCTTCAGCGATCTCTAGTCATGCGCATAATCCACTGTGGGTCATAAACTGGGATGTCTTTTCAAGGTCTCTTAGGTTTCCCCAAAGCTTAGTTGTCAGTTCTACTGGGTGTTGCCATATGTCGCTCCGCAGCTCCGCCAGGAGAGGACAGTCTTGCAGGACATGTTCTGGAGTCTGTTCAGAACGAAGGCACTGGCAGAGAGCTGTTTGGCTCATACCTAATTTATATGAGTGTTTATTGAGTCTGCAGTGTCCAGTGCGTAAGCGAAAAACTGTGACTTGGTCTGTTCTGTTCAAGTGCCTCAGAAAATCTTTTCCATAGTCATAACCAGTGTTGTTTTTCCAATCTGTTTCTGATTTTTCTCTTAATGAGAGTTTTGACTTCTGGAAAAGATAGTGGCTGGTAGGTCTGTAGTTTGTTACTGCCTTCCTTGGCTAAAGCATCTGCGCTTTCATTGCCTTTGATGCCGCAGTGAGACGGAATCCACTGCAAGTGAATTTCTGCCTTATTTGACAACATAAGAACATAAAACGATGAACAATGTTCTCCGAACACTAAAGAACACTCTCGTAACCAGCGCCATGACATAGAAACAAATGATTTGGTCATATCAATGATCCCTCTGTCACTACTGTCTGTTTTACCACTTGAGGGCGGTGTTGACAGGGGCCTTGAGCCTTATGATTTAGGGTAGCTTGAATAGTGCTGTCGCCACAGACTGTGCAAGTATGCTGTTTAATTTTGCTCCCCCCCCCCCCCCTACGCTCCCAAATCCTTAATAAAAACTCTATATTTTATCACACTGGTCTAACATTACTGCTAATGACCTGAATGTGATAGGTAATTTTACTCTTATTTACTTTTCAAGAACTATAGAGGAGGATTAAACAGTACGTCATTTGAACATAAATTCCCTGACTATTGGTTCCTATCCTACCAGCAGATGTACTCCGACTTCGAAGGAAACTCCCCTATTTAGTCCTCTTGTTCGACATGTTTGTTGGGGAGGCGCTGGGTCTATTCCTTTTCCCGCCAAAATGGAGCCCCGGACACAACACGGGAGTGGGTATAACGGACTCACAGAGTATAGTAAGAAAGGTGAAGAAGGTAAGCTCCATACAGAGTGGTAAGCATAGAGGTTTCAGGTAGTTAGCATCTTTTGAATATTTTCTCCTTATGATGCCGGTGTGTCGAGAAATGAACAGGCAGAGAGACTGGTAGATGGTAAGCTGGTGTATGACAAGCTAGATGCACGGGTCCTTGTGGAGCCAGTAAACAGTGCGGGGGCACACAAACAGATCATCATACTCTGGAGAGAAGGGTGCAGCGAGGAAGACCAGGAGATCTGGCCAATGCTCTACACTCTGGGGAGGGGCGAGCGAGAGGGACATACAACCAGACTTACTGGTTCCATCTGAATTGTAACTCTGCTCTTGTTGCTGAAGATGGAGAGAGGGCGCTTATGGGAATACCACGAGTGCTTTGATGTCGATTCTCAACTGATAACTGTTTGGGTGCATTAATATAAATTATGCATTATATTGTTTCGTGTCCTCATTATTTGAATTCATAACATGGGAAAGCTTTTTAAATTCCTGAACGTGGCTAAAGAAAACATATGAGGTATTAACGTAGAGTCCTAAAGAGAACAACTGATAAAACACCAAAGACTGACAGGTTGTCCTGGGCCGCCAGGTGCTCCAATGTCTCCAGGAGAACCTCTTTCTCCGCGGGGACCAGGTGGGCCGAGTCTTCCGTCACCTCCAACACGTCCTTGGGTTCCCTGATGAAGATCAATATATAATTATTATTCTTTCGCATCTATGTCTGTGTGTATGTGTGTGTGCATGTATATCTCTCTGTATGTATGTGTGCATGTATGTCTGTATCTATGTGTGCATCTATAAGTGTGGGGGAGCGTAAATTTATTATTGTGTGCGTATGTGTGAGAGTATCATTCCCACCCCACCCCCTTTTAATTAATGTATGAGTGCGTATATTTGAGTGTGAGGGCATGTGTATGTATATGCATGATTATATGTATGTATGTATGTATGTATGTATGTATGTATGTATGTATGTATGTATGTATGTATGTATGTATGTATGTATGTATGTA